TTCTTTGTTTTTCTTTCTTTATTTTTTCTTTCTTTATTTTTTCTTTTTATTTTTCTTTCTTTATTTTTTTTTTTCTTTATTTTTTTTTTCTTTATTTTCTTTCTTTATTTTTTTTCTTTTTTTTTCTTTCTTTCTTTTATTTTTCTTTCTTTTTTTTTTCTTTCTTTATTTTTTTCTTTCTTTATTTTTCTTTCTTTATTTTTCTTTCTTTGTTTTTTTTCTTTATTTTTTTTCTTTATTTTTTTTTTCTTTATTTTTTTCTTTCTTTTTTTTTCTTTCTTTTTTTTCTTTCTTTCTTTTTCTTTCTTTATTTTTTTCTTTCTTTTTTTCTTTCTTTTCTTTCTTTTTTTTTTTTTCTTTATTTTTCTTTCTTTATTTTTTTTTCTTTCTTTTTTTTCTTTTTTCCCTCCCCATTTTTTCCTCCCCATTTTTTCTTTCCCATATTTTTTCTTTTTCTTTTTATTTTTTCTTTCTTTATTTTTTTTATTTTTTTTTTTTTTTATTTTTTTTTCTTTATTTTTTCTTTTTTCTTTCTTTATTTTTTTCTTTCTTTATTTTTTTCTTTCTTTATTTTTTTCTTTCTTTATTTTTTTCTTTCTTTATTTTTTTCTTTCTTTATTTTTTTCTTTCTTTATTTTCGTGAAAATTTACTTAATGAGTTTACCATCACCTATTGCTCATGTGTGGATGGCTTGTTGCAGATTGAATCTGGCACCCACATTCCTCCATTTCATGAATTTATTTAAGGCAGCATAAATACAACAATGTATCTTTCTTTCATTTTACTTTAATTTTGTAGTGCTGTTTTTGGTAAAAGATAGCCAAAATTCACAAATGTATCGCATGGTTCTATAGAGAAAAACAGTTTTTTTTTTTTTTTTTTTTTCAGTAAATTAAATTTTTACCAAGATAAATAAAAACTACATTACAATTATTATTTATAATAAGAAACTTTTAGTATTTTGACCAATACTCTAGTTGCTTTACATGATGACTTCCAGAGATCGGTTATGAAATCTGGCTTCAAACATGAACTTTATAATAACCAACTCCAGCAATAAAAAATTTTATGAGTTGATTTTGACCTTCAACCAAGTTCTTAACATTGTTTTCACACTAAAAGTATCCCTGTAAATAATATTATTGTTGGCGCCTGCAGGTGAAAATGTATCACAAAATGCCAAGGAGATATTTCATAGTTGGAATCATAAAAAAAAAACCCAAACAGCTAAGTACGAATTCTCTTGTGGCTGGCAGTTAGTATGTAATCCACCAACATTGTCAGTCCTTCATTGTTGACACATCTATCAACACACCTATCACTTTTCAATTTGCACCCCACTCACACCGGGCACTGTCTCTTCTCTTTTTCCACCCAGTTGCTAGCTCCACTAGCTTTGCTGATTAATACTGACTTTATGGATCATTCGGTTTTCTTTTCCATCCTTGGTTGAGGCCTGATGTGTTGTATTTATAGGAGTGATTTGGGGTTCCCCAAAGTTCTTACAATATTGGGATTGACAGTGAAGTCTAATCTGAACCCCTTATATATGTTGTGTACCATAGACAGGATCACATAATTCCTGGCCATGGTAAATTTTTCTCACAGGACAGCTCTGATCAAACTGGAAAAAAGAACTGTCGGCTGGCATCTCTATCAATGTCTCTGTCGGCTGGCATCTCTATAAAATACTCTACTGTAGGAGTGGTGATTTGGAGATTCCGGTTGCAACTGTTAAAGTGATGTCCAGTCAATTGGCTTGCTTTCAATTCTTTGGTTATGTGTGTGTCTGTGTTTTCACACCTGCCTAGGAATTTTGGGTGTGCTCTTTAGCAACGACTGTCTTACAAGCAATTCTTGGATGTTCTCTGCTGACCTCTCCTGACTGGGCTACTCCACCCACCAATTCGAAAAAAATGACCAAGCGAAATGCGTGTTGACTTTATATAGGGAAATCTTTTTCAATAACAATGACTTAATGATTTCACCTAACATAGCCACCCCCCCATGACAATTACCAATGCCAAATTTCATTCTCTCCATATTTCTGTAATTTGACCACCTAGCTTTTCTCACCATAAATCCAAGATAACGATTTTAAAAATTTGCAATTCTTGCAGAAGATGGGACATTTTCATTTTAGGCCATCTCGTTAAAAAAAACCCCCAAAAAACCCACACACACATGGTATTTCCTTTTGTTTATTTAAAATCTACCTACAGTATATATACTCATGTAACATGTGACCCCCCCACACCAAATTTTCATTTAAAAAAAAATTTTATGTATCTTGTGTATCATTCAAGTTTTTTTTTTTTTTTTTTTTTTTTTTTTTTTGAGACCAAATTACAATAGACTAACAGATTTTCCTCTATCTCTTTCTAGTTAGACAAGTTAAAAAAAGTAATAGAATGATAAGTATTGTTAGTAATGCTATACTCATTGCGTAAACATGTACAGTCATAAACAACTGAACGAGAAACAGCTAAATATCTTATAAACAATGGAAAAGATGCACATTTGCTGTATTTTTATTGTCTAATATGATACTAATATATGAATATTACATGCATTATTATTGAATATAGTAAAATAAAATATCAATTTTATTAAAATCATGTTATTTTTTATATTATTTTTAAATACAGCTTTACTTTTTGACTACAGTAAATGGATATATAGTTTGAACAATGGTGTAGCCATGGCCAGCAGTACATACAATAATTTTATATTTCATCTATCATGTGACACCCTTAAAATTGGCTTCCAAATTAGGTCTTCAAAAGTCACATGATATGAGAGTATATATGTGTATATATATATATATATATATATATACACACACACACACACAGTGTAACCCGGATATAAGAGAGTTGTCGGGACTGGATAAGAAGTCCCTTATATCCGGGTTTGGTCTATTTTATATACATTAACACAGGATCTAATTTGGGACCAGAGAAAATCTCTCTTGTATCCGGGTCTCTTATATCCGGGTTACACTGTATAAACAAACCAACCTATAAGATTTTTGGGAAGTTACTTAAATCCAGTCTAGCTTATAGAAATGGATAGCATATACAGTGGCCAAGAAATGGGGGATGAGTTTAATACAAAAGAACAATACAAAACTGATCCCTCACTTTCTATCATTCTTTTATTTGATTACCTATCAATGTTTTGGAATTTCATCTATAAATCTACTATGGCCAAGAAATGGGGGATGTGCTTAATACTAAAGAATAATACAAAACTGATCCCCCACTTCTTACCATCCCTTCCTCTGATTATCTGTAAGGATTTTTTTTTAGTTACTGTGTATACTTGTGTATCATGTAACCTAATTCTGAAGCCAATTTGACTACAGTAAATAGATATATAGTTTGATCAACTGTGTAGCCACGGCCAGCAGTATATAGACTAATTTTATATCTTGTGTATGATGTGACTCCCTTTAAAATTAGCTTCTATGCGAGTATATATGGTAGATATCTTTGTAAAGCTAATTAGGTTCTTGGAGCAGGTCAATGTAAATAAATTCCAAATCTTAGGACCTCACACAAGACGTATGTTTTATTTCTTTGTCTAAAATAGATCATTATTTCTTGTGACTACATGCGTTCTCTACAGATAGTGTTTTGTAAAGAAAACTTCTGAATTCTAAGTTTTCTAGAACCTTAGGAATTCAGACAATTTTTCTTATCGGTGGGAATTGGGTTGGGTATCTTAGTCTTGTTCACTTACTGAATCTTGAGTTCATTTCTCCTTGGAACTATTCTTAATTTCATTTTATTATTTTAAACATAAATTTTAATGAGTTTTGTTTTTAATTTTCTTTTCAATTATTCAAACTAGTCTTTCGAGAATTTTAACAATTATTATCTACTTAGTAGTCTCACCAAATTACCATCCTGCAATTTAATACATTTAAACGTGTAAACAGGGCTGGCACCTGATTACAAATATTAACTTTTTGTATTACAATTAATACTCACATTTTTTTTTTTTTTTTTTTGGCTGGGTCCAGTAAAAAGAAAAAACATTTAAGGAGTGGAATTGTTAGAAATTTTGAATAATTATTTATTTTTATTTAAAAAAATTTTTTTTTTTCACATTGATGTCA